ACAAAGAACGGAAGAAAATTAGGCCCCGCCCAGTCAGTGCCATGGCTAAAAGAGCGTGGTCGTCGGGTCAAGCACCTCTGCACTCCGCGCCAGAACAGCCCAGTTCAGACAGGCAGGTCAGTGTCGATCCCCGAGATTCGGCTTCCACATGGAGCCACGACACTCCAGGGTCCACGGTCCCTCAGCGGTGTCAGCCTTGGCCACGGTACAGCAGTAATCGAGGCGTAGACGACAAGGAGGTGCTGACCCAACGCCGGCTATTTCGGAACGCACATGCTAAAAGCATATAGGCACTGACTGAGAGCGAAATCAATGACTACGGAGTCTTTTATAGGTTTTTGGAACGTGCGTAAATTCCACACGTACCTTTTCAGGGAGACACAAAAGGATTTGGATCAACTGGGATCGTAACAATGGTCAGTTCATCGCGATAGCCGAAGAACGGAAGGAGAATCGCAGGAAGATTGTGTTTTGTGTCAGGCCAACCATTCTTGATTGTGTACATGAGGCAACTCAGCGTTTCGTTGGCCTTAGTGGCTGTGCGTAGCTGGAATAGCCGGTCATTGGAGAAGGGAGTGTGCTCCAGGTTATTCACAATGAGATTCTCCTCTGCGGCCATGTCACTGAGTGGTGCACGTGACCGTGCATCAGACAGAAGTTCCTTGCCAGGGCAGTAAACAAGCACAAAGTTGTATACCTGTGTGCGAAGCAGTAGGGACTGTAGGCGCTTGGGGGACTTAGACAGAGGCTTCTTGCTGATTGCAACAAGAGGTTTGTGATCGGTGACGACAGTCAGGGTCCTTTGGTATACTGGTGAAATTTCTCAAAACCGGAAACAACAGCGAGCATTTCTTTTTGATCTGAACATAGTTCCGTTTGCTGGAAGTAAGGGTGTGACTGGTAAAGGCAACAGGCTTGCCTTCTTGTAGAATGGCAGAACCAATGCCGTAGTCACTGGTGTAAGATGTTTTTTTAACTTAATGTTTTTCTTTTTCGGTTTTGGCGTGTGTATTGACTAGTTGCTTTAACCCCTCAGGTTTTAATGGAATGTTCTTTCCCCCTTCCACTTTAAGTTGACCAGGCCATGAGTCTTCTTCAGGAACTTTCTCATTGTATACACCCCTCCAGTTGGAGTCCTTCCATGCAGGTCTTTTGTGTAGTGTAACCAGTTTTCTTTCACTGATAGAGTCCACTAGGAAGATGTTTTCCCTCTCCTGACTAGTTGGTTAAATGTTCACTCCAGATGTGTTGAACACTAAACCAGTATTGAAGGTGAATCTATGTCTGTGTCTTTTTCCTTAGTAAATTAGGTTAGCCAGGTTCTGGCAGAAAGCTGTTTCTTTTATTATTTAAAAATTAGCGTGAGCTTGTTGGAGTGAAGGGTGAAATGGAAGTGATGTGAAAAGTACCATAGCTAGGCTGAGAGTCAGAATGCCAGATGATTCCGCTATGTCAGCATGGCATTTGAGTAGCTCCCAAAAGCGTTTTCTCGTTGGCCAAAAGGCACAATTAGAGGCACTTTTGCCCAGTAGGCACAAATCCAGGTGCCTCATGCAACAACTTACCTGCCACGGTTAGAATAGAACCGAGGAAAACCCTGCCTGTCAGATTTTGTTGTCAAGGCCAGCAGTGGAGCAGAACTCAACCACCTTACACACTTTCCACTGAAGTAACTCGTAAGTGTAAACACCCTATTTATTTTGGCAGATTATTTTCTAACGTTCAATGATGTTTTGATAAGATGAAGTTCCTCTCCTTTACTGAAAATATCGCTAGAATTTGTAGATGGTAATTTTATTTGATTTCACAGTTATATTTGTCAAGGGTGAAGGATTCAGCTATTAATGATTATTTTGAAGTTTGAATTATAGTCAGGAACTTACCTTTTCCTTCCAAGTTAGAAATGTAATACTTGTACGGTTTGGCCATTTCTTTAAATTTAGATGGTCAGTGATCACTCTTGATGTCAATCACAACTACCCGCTACCCGTGCTACCCAGTGTCACAAATTGATTTGGACGACACGACGTCTGCAAATACTCGAGTGCAGTGCTGAGAATTGAGCAAGCAAGAGTTGACACACTGTGGGAGCCAGAACTCAACTATAAGGGATGTATACATTGAAAACTACATGTATTTCTAAATGAGAAAGAACAAAGCCTTGGTGCATTTTTATGACAACGTACTCTAATCTTCTTTGATTGTAAGGAGCCTGAAATGAGTCAAGGTTGAAATTCATTTTGTATTTCACTGTTAGAATATGAATTTGATTTTTTGGGGTGGAGTAACAAAATTTTTCAAAAATCACCTGATTCTGGTTCCCTACCCGATGTTTTGCGTGATGCTAATGTGACTCCGCTATAAAAGAAAGGAGACAGATGTCAGCCTGTAAATTATAGGCCAGTTTCGTTGACATCGATCCCATGCAATATTTTGGAACATATCCTGCATCATCATATCATGAATCATTTTGATAAATATCGCATCTTAGTTGACGTTCAACATGGTTTTCGTAAGGGACGTTCCCGTTCAGTTATTAAGTTGTTGATGACCTTTCAAAGATTTTGGATGACAAAGGCCAAGCGGACCTGATTGTTATGTATTTCAGCAAGGCTTTTGATTCAGTGCCTCA